ATGTTTTTGTATAAATCGTCGCTTCACATCAAAAAGGCGAGCGCTTCGCTGCGTGCCTCTCGCCGCAGTGAAGCGGGCCCTCGTCGCTATTTGTCGCCGCACACTGTTCAAAACACTGGTGAGGAGGAGCACAGATGCCCTGGTGAGGAGGTGTGAGAGGTTGACATTGAAGGGCCTATAGAGAGGTAGAGGTAGGCCAAAGAAGAGGTGGGAAAAGGTGATTAGGCAAGACACGGCGCAACTTCAGCTGACCGAGGACATGACCCTTGATAGGAAGGTATGGAAGTCGAGGATTAGGGTAGTATAGTAGGTAGTCTAGAGTGTTCTTAACAGTAGTATTGGCACGCAGTCTCGCTTTTATGACTAAACGTTGTTTCCTTTCATCGTTGATCACCTTACTGTCTTGTTGTTTTTATTCTGCTTTTATATGGCTTTTTGGTACTGTCCCTTCTTGTCTATATTTTCATTAATGTAGTGCTTATGCTTTCCTGAGCCGAGGGTCTATTGGAAACAACCTCTCTATCCTCACAAGGTAGGGGTAAGGTCTGCGTACACACTACCCTCCCCCGACCCCACGGTGTGGGATAATACTGGGTATGTTGTTGTTGTTGTTGATGATGAATGCTCATTATTTTAATATTTTAGCTGAATTTTTAACCTACTGCAGAGAACCACTTGCATCTCCTACCAAATAATTGAATATAGGTGGAAGAACAAAATATATAACAGTGTTTGATAGCCGTCTGTGTACATTACCATTTTTCGTTTTTGTTCTCTCATAGTTCCTAGCAATTCCGTTCATGTTTTCTTGAAATAATATTATTGCTTTATTCTTGTTCTTAGGTACAACCAAATGATATATGATGCACTTTCAAGTTTAAAAGAGCCAAATGGATCAGACACAAGCACAATTGTCAACTTCATTGAGGTATAAAGCGGCACCATTACTTTCTGGTTTTCTCTTTTGGCTTTTCTAGCCATCCATCAGGTATTTGATACTTCTGCTTACTCCTTGACATTCAAAAAAGCTGTTATATTTTACTAGTAGTACTATGAATTAGGCAATCCCTGTGATTTTGACCATGCAGAAATGAATTTTAAGTTTTCTGAAGCTAGATAAAAGTGCTATCAATAATAACAATAGGATTTTCAACAAACTATAAAGCAGTTACAGTTCCAAGGTCATTAAAAATGATAATGTGGCGCAGCCGTGTATGGGATGAAGACCTTTACTATCGTCCAACATAAGACCTAAAGAATATGTGTTTGTGTTTCTTGTTTACATCTCCATGTTTTCTTTGCCACACTTGGAAGACACAGACAGAGAGGATAAAATTTACAATCCCTCAAGATACCCAGGTTCTCTCTCTGTGGCAAGAGAGCTAGAATTTATTCCAGGAAAACAGGAACACATTTCAACTTTGATTAATGAACAGAACAAAACTTTTTTCAAAAGATTTCATTTCAAATTGGTTAATGAACAGAACTAAAAACTTACTCCCACTGCCTAGCAAGAAATCATTGCAGACCTGCTGCACACATGGAAGAATGATTGCAGAAGTATGTCGTATGGAATTCAAGATATTGAGGCTCGATAATTCTAGTAGTAGTTGTTTTCTTTTGTCTGATAAAATTTTTAGTTCACTAATGTTTTTGCTGGTTGATCACCGATAAAAAAATGTATTTGCTAGTTGATTGCTCATAATTTAATGCATAATACTCTATGCAAGAAATGACTGAAGGGAACCTTTCTTATTGTTTTTGTATCTACTGCAGCAAAGGCATGAGGTGCCCCAAAACTTCAGAAGGCTGCTGAGTTCTAGGCTGAGGAGGCTTGTTCAACAAGACAAACTTGAAAAGGTCACCTTGTTTTTATTCTCATTTATCAGTTGGGTTACTGGTAACACTTTCTTTTGTAACTTCTTTTGGCACCAGAAGACTGGTCTGGTTTTTAAACACAAAACTTTATGTGCTTCATTTTCGACTTTTTTAAAGAACTATAAGAAAAAAACATCCAAGTAGAACCCACATTCTGGAACACCCTTATAAAGTTAATAGCTTGGTTGAATGAGTATGCTAAGTTTCCTCGCCAGTTTTCAGATGTTTGAAGCTGGATTAGTGGCACAATTAAGATCATCATGACCAAGTTGTGCAGTGTCTCATGCATATATCATTATGTGGCTTGGGTGCTTGGTATTTTATGTAGTGAAATGCTTGCATCTTTTGGGCAGAGTAATTCTCTTCTTGTGTGAGGAATTATTCTGGAATTATTCTTTTGGTTATCTAATATGATTTGGATGGAAAAGAATGTTTGCATAGTTCATAGTTGATTGCTTTACATACTTCTTCTGGGTGTCCTCCTAAGTGGTCGTTATCCTTGGTTGCTTTACATCAGTAAAGTGCATCTTTTCAGCAACTTTTCTCTTTTACCACATAATGATTTATGGATTTTTGAAACTGAAATCGAAGGACAAGCGAAAGAGCATGAAGGAGTTAGGTGTTTGCTTGCTGAACCACCGAATAATGCATTCTGATATTCACCTGACTATTAAAATTCTGAATTCTGGCATTTTAATTTGTGGCATCCACTTCAGATTGAGAATTGCTACAGGATTAAGAAAGAGGTGTTAGAAAGAACAAAGACAGCTACCCCAAAACAAAAACATGTTGGGCCAAGACAGTTTCCAAGTAGTACCTATCTTGGTGATACTGTTGAAGAAGCAGCAAAGACTGCTGTTTATAAGGTTGCAGAAGCTGACAATAAATCATTTGTAGCAGCTGAAGCAGCTAAGGAAGAAGCGAGAGTTTCAAAGATGGCTGAAGACCAAGATAGTTTACTGCTATTGGCCAAGGATATTTTCGACAGATGTATGCTTTCTTCCTATCGTCTTGTTTGTATGTGGTGTATTTTAGATTGTCTTGTTTAACATTTACTTATATGCTTATTCTTGCATCCTCAGGCTCACAAGGCGAAATTGTGCTAATGGCATAAAAGGGTCTTCCCCCTCTTTTGTAAAGTCGGAACCAGCTGTTCAGAACCTCTAAAGTATGTTAGTATTCTATTCGAATCAAGTAATTAGTGATATGTGGTTTTTTGTTAATTTAAGTAGTATTAGTTAAGACCTTTGCACAGGTTCTCTTCTCCTATTATGTATTCAGCGTAGCAAAAGTTGGAGAGGGATAGAGAGATTATTATAAAGCTTGAGATTTGATGCTTGTAAATCATGCAGTTCTTTCTATCTGGCAAATTGATAAAGAGTACTCTGCTTTTACATTCGGAGTATTGTCACAGTTGTTCTTCTACTGGCGATAGGTATTAGAGTTGAAGATTTTGTCCCGCAAAAGAAGAATAATGAGAATTGTAGCAAGATTTCAGGCCATACATGTCACCTTTTTACTTTCTTTTCCTACTTTTATGGAGACGTGGACTATCTGCTTTAACCAAAGTTATTATTAGTATTGGACTTTATAAGAAAACTAATAAAATTCGATTCTTTTGAACTATTTTTACTCTCTTGGTGGCCAATGCCTTGCGTACAAAGATAGCATCTCCTTTGTTATTCAACTTATTCCAATTCTAGATATTAACTTCTGAATTTTCTTTATTTAGTATTGCTATATTTTAATGGTAACAGGCAACGCAATGCTCAGGTTCGGGTTAGCCTGTTAGGGTAAAATGTAGCTTTTCTTCTGAAGCGTCTTAGTTCAATGGAGGAAATACTGATATTTCCCTAGCCTCCACCTAATAAGAAGAGTTGCAGAAGAAACGAAGTAATTCTTCTCTTAAATGAATAGAGCACTTTTTCTTTAGTAATTACTAAAGAATAAGGTCAAATCTCATTGTTCTCAAAAAATAAAAAATAAAAAAAGTTCCACATCAAATACACCACTTTCTATTTTACTACTTTAACATGTCCTACATAATAAGAACAAGGGCAATTAAGTAATAAAAGGAGGTTTCACTGCACAGACTTCAAACCACCAAATGTCACACATCTTTCTTCGCCTACATAAAATCTTGAAGCTATTTCACTAAAAATCAAGAGATTAGGTAGAAAGTACACATCATTTAAACATAATCACTGGCAGTCTCAAAAAAAAATTTAAACATAATCGCTGGAATTCATTTACAAACAAAATGCAATTGAAGAACGTGTACGTAACAAATAAGGGTGAAATTTTGCATATAAAGGAAAGTGTATCACCAAAACTTTATATTCACTATTAAGATTTCAAAATTAGAAAGCGAATTCTAAAATAATTGGTGAGCACACAATAGATGCATCAGCGAAACTATGAAATTTCAAATTTCTCGTGGGCGAGACCAACTTGTACCGCACCTTGACTATTTAACGAGTATTTGCTACCTCTCACCAACATATATACCAGGTAACTCTGCTCACTTACGATCATTTGACGAATCCGAATCCGAATCCGAAGCCGGAAGAGGTCCTTTTCACATACTGGAAAATACATAACTTCCTTCTAAAAATCCTGCATTCTACTTCGCAGTTTCTCTTTTAAATTCATAAGTGTAATTTTGCTCCGTTCTTTGAGGATAGAAGAAGACAACAAAAATGCTGAAAAGAAGTCACGTGGAAACTCGACAATAATAAGGGCTAACATTGTTGAGGAGGCGCCACAAAACAAGAAGAGAAAGAAGGCTTCTGGACCAAAAATTACCCAAGCAAGAAAAAGTTCAAGGGTAATTGCCACAACTGTGAAAAGTCTGGGCATAAGGCCGTGGACTGTCGTGCATCAAAGACTGATGAAGAAGAAGAAGAAGAATCAAGCTAACATGGTTGAAAAAGTTAAAGAAATGGAGGACTTGTGTGCCATGCTGTCTGAATGCAATTTGGTATGAAATCCTAAAGAATTGTGGATTGATTCTGGAGCCACCCGCCATGTTTGTGCTAACAAGGAGTTATTTTCTTCTTATGCCCCCGCAGGACCCGACGAGACAATTTTCATGGGAAATTCATCTACAGCCAAAATTGATGGAGTTGGCAAGATTGCGTTGAAGATGACGTCGGGAAAAATTGTGACTCTAAACCAAGTTCTATATATTCCAGAAATTCGCAAGAATCTTGTGTCTACCTCACTTCTTGTCAAGAATGGATTCAAATGTATTTTTGTTTCTAATAATGTTGTACTAAGTAAGAATGATGTGTATGTAGGAAAAGGTTACCTGAATGAGGGCCTTTTTAAGCTAAATGTAATAGCAGTTCCTATCAATAAAGTTAATTCTTCTTCTTACTTACTTGATTCAAACACTTTATGGCATGCACGCCTAGGCCACATCAACTTCAAAACATTGCGAAAAATGATAAATTTGGAAGTATTGCCAAAATTTGATTGCATTAATTCTAAATGTCAAATATGTGTGGAATCAAAGTACGCTAAGCATCCTTATAAGTCCTTTAGACTTAATTCACATAGATATTTGCGACATGAAGTCAACACCATCTCGCGGTGGAAAAAAGTATTTCATTACTTTTATTGACGATAGTATGAGACATTGCTATGGTTACTTACTTAATAGTAAAGATGAAGCAATTGATGCTTTCAAGCAATACAAGAGTGAAGTTGAAACACAACTAAACAAAAAAATCAAAATGATAAGAAGTGATAGGGGTGGCGAATATGAATCTCCTTTTGAAGAAATATGCTTGGAAAATGGCATTATTCACCAAACAACTGCCCCTTACTCTTCACAATCTAATGGAACTGCAGAGAGAAAGAATCGAACGTCGAAAGAGATAATGAATGCATTGTTGATAAGTTCTGGTTTACCACAAAACTTGTGGGGGAAAGCTATACTTACAGCTAATGGAATAATCAACCGTGTACCTCATAGTAAAATACAGTCCATTCCTTATGAAAAATAGAAAGGAAGGAAGCCCAACTTGAAATACTTCGAAGTGTGGGGGTGTTTAGCTAAGGTACAAGTTCCTAAACCTAAAAGGGTTAAGATAGGCCCAAAAACGGTTGATTGTGTATTTATTGGATATGTAACCAATAGCAAGGCATATCGTTTTCTGGTTCATAAATCAGAAAATCCTGAGATCCACATTAATACGGTAATAGTATCAGATAATGCTGAATTCTTTGAAACTATTTATCCGTATAAAAAGGAAAGTGAATTGTCCTACCAATTGTCAAAACGACCTCGGGAGGAAACAACAAATGGTATGCCTAATGAGGAAAATCCGAGAAGAAGTAAACTTCAAAGAACATCTACTTCATTCGGTCCAGATTTTCTGACTTTCCTGCTAGAAAATAAGCCTCGAACCTTCAAGGAAGCAATGTCTTCCTCAGAAGCACAATATTGGAAAGAGGCTGTCAATAGTGAAATAAAATCCATATTGAGCAACCATACTTGGGAATTGGTTGATCTTTCTCCAGGTAACAAAACTTTGGGTTCTAAATGGATTTTCAAGAAGAAAATGAAAGACGGTGGTACTATTGACAAATACAAGGCAAGACTTGTTGTCAAAGGATTTAGACAGCGAGAAGGTCTTGACTATTTTGACATATACTCGCCGGTAACAAGAATTACATCCATTCGGATGCTAATAGCGTTAGCCGCCTTGTATGGTCTTGAAATCCATCAAATGGATGTAAACACAACCTTTTTAAATGGTGATCTAGAGAAAGAAATTTACATGAACCAACTTGAAGGGTTTGTGGTTCCGGAAAAAGAAAAGAAGGTGTGCCGACTTGTTAAGTCCCTTTATGGACTAAAACAAGCACCCAAGCAATGACATGCAAAATTTGACCAAACAATATTGCCAAATGGCTTTAAGATTAATGAATGTGATAAATGTGTTTACATTAAGAACGTTCCAAATTATATAGTCATTTTATGCTTATATGTTGATGATATGCTAATAATGAGCAAAGATATTGCCAACATTCAAGCTACTAAGCGTATGCTTGCTAGTAAGTTTGATATGAAAGACTTAGGAGTTGCTGATGTAATTCTAGGAATTAAAATCCAGAGGACTCCTCAGGGTCTGGCTTTGTGTCATTCACATTACGTGAAAATGGTACTGGAAAAATTCAAATACTTGGAATTTAAAAGTGCAAGAACTTCAATCGACTTAAACCATTATCTTGTAAAGAATAAAGGTGAAAGCACGTCTCAATTGGATTATGCTCGTGTGTTGGGAAGCTTAATGTATATCATGAACTGTACACGTCCTGATATAGCTTGTGCAGTAAGTAAACTTAGTCGATTCACAAGTAATCCCAACAAACATCACTGGGTGGCTGATAATAGGTGAATTGAACTATAATTAAGCCCCAAAAGAACCACTTTCTTGTAGAGTTTTTATTGTAAAAGTGATAGCAAAATGCTCTTATTAGTGCTTTTCATGTTTTTCAGGTTACATACATTAGAAGAAGGCTATGGAGTGGTTTTGTATCATTTATGGAAGAAAAAGAAGCCAATCGCATCAAAGTCGCCGAGTGAACCATTTGAAATACACAAACGAGGCCTGGAGGTGAACTGCCGCGGTCCCAGCGTGGTCGCGGTAGGACCGCGGTGAGCTGTCAGAGGAGATTCAGAGAGGCCGTTTGGCCGCGGTCCCAGCGTGGGCGCGGTAGGACCGCGGCAGGCGACGGGAACTTAAGGAACTGAAGTGAAAATTCCAGAATTCTTAGCCCAAAACCCTATTTAAATACTAGAACTCGCCCAAAGGAGGCATGAAATATTATTAGAGAGTACTTGGCAAGAAAAATAATTGTGAGAGATCACCTAAAACATCTTTATTTCTTTTCTTCTTTATTTTCTTGCAATTCATGATTATGAATCTTTTAGTATTTGATTTACCCATTGTCATGAGTAGCTAAAAACCTTAATCTAAGGTTTTGGTGAAACCCGTTGGGGATGAATTGGTTGTTATAAGTAATATAGATTTGAATTAGTTTAATCTCTATTTGTTCAACTATGTTTTGATTGTGGTTAATTGAAAGGATCCTCAATTAGCCGTTCCTATTTATTATGTATTTACTTGAGAGAGAGTGCATATTTAGGTAGTTGTTTGAACAACATCACTCCCGGAGTATAGGCGAGAGTCATAACCGAGGGTTTAGAGGTTGGATTAGAGATAACGATACCTCGGGTGTGATCTAAGTGAACTGTAATGCGAATCTANATTTTCAATCTTGTCTTCTTGGTGATATTAAACAGATACATCTAAGCCTTAGTTCTCTGTGGGATTCGACTCCGGACTTTTAGACCGGATTATATTTGCAGCGACCGCTTATCCTTTTTAGGACTAGAGTTGGGCGTGATCAAATTTTGGCGCCGTTGCCGGGGAACTAACGGTGTAGTTGTAG